AAAAAAAAAAAAAAAAAAAAAGAAGAAAAATATTTTCACTTAAATTCGTAATTATAAACCATGGTCATAACCTCGAGCAGTTACGATGGTAATTACTTTTAAAATTAAAAATCCCACTGAACGCCAAACGCAACAGCCCTTATCCTCTCGCTTTTAGCAAAATGTTGCGATGCATTGCTCGCCGCGCGCGCGTTCGCTCTGCTCGTTAAATGAAAAATTACCAACCGGCTGTAGTGCACAAAATTAGCGGGAATAGGATGAAACGAGCGAATGTGATTAATGGCAGCGTAAATTAGCAAAAGCCAACGGGTCTGCCGCTTTCTTTTTCCCGAGTTGCCTGCCTCTCAACGACTCCCAAGGGCACGTGAAGAACAACCGGAAACGAACAAGCCGGGAAAAGCGCGCGGACTCTCATAAGAAGGAAAATTCGCTGCGTGCTCGATAATCGTCGGAGCTCGTCGGAGCTGCTTTCTCGGCAGATTAGAGGAAACCGTGAGATACGCGTACCGCAAGCCGAAAAGGAAACATTCTGCGTTTTACATTCCGGTCGTTCGCCGAACGAACTGCGAAGGAACGTCGATTTTTCACAATTTCTTCTTTTCACCCCTTGGTCCCATAAATCACCAAAGGGCCGTTATTTTTCCCATTGTTAATAAAATTGGTGTGGATTTACTTTTTCGATGCAAAAGTATGGAAAATATCAAGATGTTTGAAAAAAAATTGGAAATAGTCTCCACTTCTTTCTATTTTTTTTTAACAAATTTGCAATCTCGTTATCACAAAAAAGAAGACAAATTTTCGATAATTTAATTTGAAGCTTATAGAAAGAAAAAAAAAAATATGAAAAATGCATTTATTTCAGCTGATTTTGTGATACATTTCAAACGACCAAGTTTGAAATATCCAAATTAATTTGTCACTTACTTCGAAAAATAGATTATCATTATCGCGATGCAAGAAATGACGAAATTTTCTACCTGTTATACACTGGATAATTCGAAACGAGCAGCGTGATATAGTAGACAGTTGAATAAGATAAAAGGAAAAGAAGAAAAAAAAGAAAAAGATCCAGTTTGAAATTCTAGGATTATTATGCTCTCGACTCTTTCTTTCCTTCTTTATTGTTCATGCTTCGTGGCTCGAAACGTCAACGAGATCGAGCGGAAAGCAGAACGAGTGGAAGGGGATCACCGTGTTCGACCAGCACTCGTAACTCTCATCGAGATATAAAGTACCGAGCAGAAAAAGAAAAAAAAAAAAAAAAAAAGAAAAAAATTCATACTAATTAAGCCCTCCTACTGAAGGCAGTATCGCTGATTTTCGAGACGTTCGAATCCCTCCTCCAAGCCGTGAACCTGCTGCAACCGATCGATTTCCTGTCAACTCACGATATTAGGATTTCGTTGTGATCCCGACTACAATGCAAATCACCGGAGAACGCTTTCGCAATTCAAAGTGTGCTATCTCATTTTGCGCGAGTTTTAATTCGATGAGGAATTTTATATTTGCAATAGTCAAATTTAACAGTATATTTCTTTTTTTTTTTTTTAATTAAAAAACTGAATGTTCTATCTCAATCGATTAGCTGACTATTTATTAACCCTACAATTATTCTTTTTTTTCTCTTACATTCAAATGACATTATCATTAATTTCTATTTACTAAAGATATACTCTCATGTTCTTGGAGAACGTGTTCATAAAATGCTCACATTTTTGGAATTCTCCTAGTGGGATCTTCACACGAATAAAGTCTACTCTGAAAGCAGTTGTCCAAAAGATTATTCGACGTAACGATAGAACAGAGCCAGCTAAACAGCGAACTTTACACGCGGGCAATGGGTGTATTCTCCGCGGAAAAATATTCGTAAATCGGTTTCGACTGGCAAGCACAACAGCCTGATAAAGCTTCAGTCCCGGGAAAGGAGTTAGCTGGGGAAGAAGAGGGCGTAGCTGGCTGGCTGGCTGGCGAGCAAAGAATTCCCTCGGGTACTCGAAATCACCGCGTTAATTCTAAGGTGTCTGAAAGTGGCTGAGCCAGGCTCGCGGTACGCGTATTCTGTACAGGTAACGACGTCTATGTGTGCGCTGGGCTACGTGTAAAGAAGATCGCGGTGAGCGTTGATAGTCCGTTAGTGTTGGTTGGATGACGTCGGTAAGCGTACGAGAGATTGGAAATGGCGAGACGAAGGACCCTCCTCGTCTGAGCACTGCGGTGCTTGTGTCAGCGTTGTATCCCGCCTAACCCCTGTCTCACACTTCGCAAATAACCACTGCCGATTCATTGTTTAAGCCTGGGACAATAAAACGAACGCCAGTACGGCCTCCGACGTGTATTCAGATGTATCTAATATTCGGTTGCTCGCCCTCCTTTCCCGAATTCCTCGTCATCGAAATTTCAGACGATGAAAATCAGGCGGAATATTGATTGCAAAGAACTTGAGGACTTCCGTCCTTGAATTTCCTCGATTCTTAAAAACACCATTCTATCATGATTCTGTAAAACTTGAAGAATATACAACAGATTTCGAATAAACTAATTTCTGATTTATTCGCCGTGTAATTTTGTCGCCAATCATTCGAAACAATAAGTTAATAAAACGAAGATTGTCCATCTTATTCTCGCGTGTCGCTGGAACATTCGAAAGGATTGTAACACTCGTTGTCAGCTGGTAATAGCTGTTTAAAAGAAAAAAAAAAAATCTAATGTCGCGTGACAAGGTCCGCTCATCCGTATTCGACTTAAGTGTTTTAGCTTTCAACTTCGTAACGTTGGAACTCATTGCAGATGAGCGTGCAGACCGTTTCTCGGCTGCTGTTACTCGCTCGTTTTAAATGTCACGGTGCATGCGAATGTTCCAGCAACACGCAAAAGATTTATAGG